ATCACAACGAACCGCATGCTTTATCATCCAGTCCGTCTGCTTTGTGTATACCCCCGGCAGGTTTTTTGTACCGTTAGTCCTCTTCCAGATAACCATATGTACCACTGTATACTCACTTGAAAATAGGAAAGATTTGAATAACATTATTTATTCTTATTTATTATTATTGTCCAACAGGGTCCAATAATGGCGGGNCGACGATGGGCTGGTGTGTTGGCAAGTATCGATTGTACCAATTTGGAAAATGCCAATGTGGCACGGTTCTGGCAAGGCGCTTTGAGTCAATACTCACGACAGAATACTTGTCACATACGACGGCGTCTCACGAACTCCACCAACGTTTCTCGCAAGAGCTCACGTTGTTCAAGCACGGTGGATGTGACTGCTGCGTTGGCCGCCGCGTCTTTGGTAGACCAGTGAAATATTTGACACGCACGCACACCAGCCGAAATGCTGTTCCGGTTCCGTTGCCCACCACCAGACATATACACCGGCGTCTTCCTCCTTCGAGCCTGTTCCGAACTAGCACATAACCTATCTGCTCACCCCGTCAATTTCCCCAGATCCATCTCCATCGCGACTGATTGTCACTCAGTTTTTTTCTAATTCATTTATCTTGTTTCACCTGATCAAAACGCATTTCCCTTTTCTCTCTCTATCTCTTCGTGTGTGTAACTCATCGCAATGCATTCATCATGTATCCACCCTGCAGATGTTTTTATTCTCTCTCTCTCTATTTAATTGTTCCGAAACCGGGGCTCCTTTAACGCGATTACACTTTGACATTCCGTCAACTGCATGGAGCGCCAAGTGAACATTCACGGCCACCCCATCGGATGATGGCAGTAGCGGCAGCAGCAACTGGTTAACTAGGACTGTATTTGATGCATCTACTCGGGTTATTTAATGATGACAGTACTCCCTTCCATGCACGGTCGTGATACTTGGACGCGGTTCTTTTTACACTGCAATCACGATTCCAGACTGAACCAGTTTCCTTGTTCAATGTGTCATGCGCGCATGAGTTCTGCGCGAGCGAAGTCGCATTCACCGTTTTAATATTGAAAATTCAGGGACTTTGGTGTGCAAACACGCACACACAGACAAGTAGACAGGCGGTCTCTATACTGGTTAACTACAGTCATTTGTGCATTGATTCTGACTTCGGCAACACAACATGTTGAGATGTACTAGGAACAGCGGAGCAACTCCACTTGATACCGTTAATCATTACCGGACGGGCTGGATGACACACACAGGAATTCCATTGGGTAACCAACTAAAAATGCTTCAGTCGATTTTGTGACGCCGTTTTTTAATTATCTCTTCTTTCGTTACCCGATGATACGGGAAGCGACCAATCAAAGGACTACCATTCAACATACATGGGAGAAGGTCAGGCGGCGGTGATAGCCTTCAAGATTCGCAGGTGTTGGTCATCCCAGGTGTAAAATGGTTCGCCATAGGGCATCGTTTATCCAATGGATCGGGTAACTAGACTGACTAGAAGCAGGAATATTGCTATAAGTAGGTGGAGCATTAAGTATACCTTTGATATGAAACATGAGCTGTGGCACTTTCATCATGCAATGGATATGATCTACTTTTGACCATGTTCATCATTATGCAGGGCAATACACTGAAGCAAACTGATCGTTGCCAAACTCAAAATGTATACAAGATAAGTGAGGATGTGAAAGGATTATGGGGATTGGACGTATTTTGAGGGATGAGGAAAGAAAGCGAACCGCTTCGGTCAGCACACAGAATTCACAGTTAAACTATGAATATCCACTATTACAACCATTTTGGTTTGATAAGAAGTGACAGCAAGATCGTCACTGCTGTCTATTCTCTGTCATAACTCCAGTTAAGGGGTCTTTCGGACCCCATCCCGTGGGACGAGAGACAACTGCGGAAGA